TCATCAAGGCTTATAATTAATCAAATAGATGTATTAATCACCAGTATAGTTATTAAAAATATGTGCATATACAAACCCACATACATGGCATGATTTATATGGTCCCGACAAATAAAATGATTCAGTTGCATAAAAGGCATAATATAGAAGTAGCTCCAAGTTCAAAGAAGAAAACCTGACCTACTCAAGCCCTTGCAATTGTGGGCTGTGTAATTTGAGACACATCACTTAAAATCTTATCACTGCAGTTTCTGAAGAGAGTTATTGTACATCATTTCCAAAAGGTTTCTAAGCTGTAAGTTTGTGAAAACCACATGATTGCCTGTCTTCATTTCTTGTCGAGGCATCATAGCTCTCTTCTGGTCTGATGCGATATGTAATTGTTCTTTAAGGAACAAAAGGTCTTGGCTCTGCTGGATTTCTGTGTTGAGGAAAGACTGGTGATGGGTAGGTGGGTGCAGCATGAAGCATAGAGGTATGGAAAGAAAGAGAAAAATGGAGAATAGCAGAGGGGGGAATATCAAATGTGCACTTTGAAGAATATTGAATGTTTACATCTGGCAGCCACTGTGTCACCTTTATATTAGAGGTCCTGTTTTCTATTACATTTACTTCCCTAAAGAATTTATATGTTTAAGGAGAATTCAAGGAACAAAGAATTGAAGGTTTAGACTGAGAAAAGTTTGGCTTTTTAAAAACAATTTTATTTTTAACTAAGAAACCTGTTCTATCCAATTTGAGTAATTGTATCGTGTGTCCTTCTATATAACATAATTCTCTTTTAAGAATAAATTTATTTTAGAAGGGTAGTGTAGGTATGTTGAAACTTGCTTGCTTTAAACTTTTAGATTTATTTGAAACATTTGTATATTAACTATATATAATTATACAGGTAGATATGGGTAATGTTTCAATAGTTATTCTATTTGTGTAGAAAAGTGTCTTGAAAACTCTCAGTAGTTTTAAAGGAAGCTGTGAGCAAGATGAAAACGCTCTTTACCTCTGCCTTTCCAGCTCACATTGTTTCTTCTACTTGCTATTGTAAAACAAAAGACATTTAAATATTCATTCTAAAAATAAAGTGCTTGATTAATCCCTTGCTGAGTAACTTGGTCCTTCTAGCCAGTGGCTCTGTGAAAATCACATGCAAATAAAGAGTACTTTAAGTTCGGCTATGACTCACATTTTGTTCTTGCATGTGGATTTAAGTATCCTACTGTATGGGATTATGTCTATGTTAATATAAGCAAAGATTAATCAATTAATGTTTCTTGAGTGTCTGAATTATTCAGATTCTCTGACAGACAATCTAAAGATGAAAATAAGTTTTGTGCTCTAGGAAATGATCTTCTGCTGCAGAGATTCGAGTGTCACCTACAGTGGTGGACACTCAATAGCTGAATTTATGTGAAAAAATTTAGAATGTTTTGGGTACTTTTGAGTTAGGTAAAGTGATTTAATAAATCTTTTATTAGCAGAACATTTTCAAATTTCTAACAAATGAATTGATTTTGTGATCTACAGTAATATCAAGTTTTGAAAACTAAAATTTTCAGGGAAGGGAGGGAGAAAAGGTGGAAGGGAGAGAGAGAGAGAGAGAGAGAGAGAGAGAGAGAGAGAGAGAGAGAGGAGAAAGAGACAGAGACAGACAGACAGACAGACAGACAGACAGACAGACAGATTATTACTCCTGGAGGTATGGAAGAAATTTGGTTTGGATTTACAGTCAAAAGTAATTGAGCAAGTGAATGAATGGATTATAAGAATTTATGTTTTTTTTTTTGTATTAGGGACTGACCTCAGGGCTTTGGTCTTGCCTGGCAGGGGCTTAGGAGCTGAGCTATATCCTCAGCCATAGGAATATTTAAATATATTTGTAGACCATAATTCTGGTTCAACAATGCAGAAGTACCATTGTTTATCAGTAGGCTATTTGATTTATGCAGTGATTTGATTTATACAATGATTTATCAATTCTCAAAATCAGAACAAGACTTTTACACGTGTCACCCATCAACAACTTAAACTTCGTGATATCACCATGGTTTTATGACTATTGTAAGCTATAAATATTTTTCCAGCTCTATAGAACTGTCTACGTTTAGTATTCATCTGTTATTTGCCTGTGACTTACATAAAGATTATTTTCTGCAGCATTACATCTAACACGAATTCATGCATTAGTGCCCTTTCGGAGATGAGCAAGCATGATACCTTGAACTTAGCACCATCACTTTCTCTGTTACCATCATTGTTACAGAAATTAGAGCTGTTCTCATCCCACTAAAGAAATCCATTCAATTCCTGGCCTATGCAGTGCCCTGTCATCTTCAGGCTGGCCATATAGCTCAGCAGATTAAAGCCCCTGCAAGCAGGCACCGGGACCGGGGGTTCAAGCCCCAGGGCCTGCTGTGCCAGCCCTGCCCCAGGGCGGCTGAGATGGCAATTGAGACTGGGTGTGGTGGTGCGTGCCAGTAACCCCAGCTCCTGAGAGGCTGTAAACGGGTGGATCACTAACTGATCTAGTAGGGAGACCCTGTACACCCTGTAGACCCTTCCTTAAAATACAAAAAAAAAAAAAAAAATCCAAAATATAAATAAAAATTTGCACAATAAAAGGTAACAGGGATTAGGAAGATGGATCTCTCCCAAACAGTAGGGGGATCAAGAGATGAAAGGAAAAGGGGAAGGGACTGAAATAACATTAAGATGTTTCATGTTCACTTTGCTACTCATAAAGAATGAGGCCGGGTTCAAACCCAGGCATGCGGTGCCGGCCCCGCCTCCAGGGACAGCGACTGAGACTGGGCGTGGTGGCACGCGCCTGTAATCCCAGAGCTTGGAAGGCTGAAAACAAATCCCCACAAGTCCTATCTATGTAGTGAGAACCTATACACCATGTAGACCCTGTCCTAAATACATCAAAAATTAAAAATTAAAAAAGAAGGTAAATATGTACTGCAATCATGTACTAATAAAACATAATGCAAAGAAACAGAATCTCTACTTGTGGAGATGGCTAAGTAGGAGATGATAGAATAGGGAAATTTAGAGAATAGTATTGATTTATCCTTTGATCATTCTTTTCAGTTTTGTCAGTGTACTGTGTGTGTGCGCGCATGTGTGTGTGTGTGTGTGTGTGTGTGTGTGTGTGTGTGCACGTGCACACACAGAATGGAAGAGATCATGGGATATGAAATAAAAGTGACTGTAAAGTACGCCTAGGAGGATCTGTGTGCATGTCATCCTGTTAGGTATACTGTTAGGAACGTTGCATTTGAGAACTGTATTGTTATCAAAATAAATCTAGGATATTTATTATTGAATGATGCTGGGAATGTGCATTATTTTCAAGGTTGGATAGATGATATTATTATGACTATTGCAAGTGTGTGGAACTCAGGAACTTATTTTTGTGATGTTATTTTTGTGACTACTTTCTGATACCTGGGATCAAACACAAGAGTGATCTTTCACTGACCTACATCCCCAAAACATTTTACACTTTTTATTTTGAGACCTGATTTTACTAAACCACTCAGTTGGAACTGGAACTTGCAATTTCTCTGTATCCTTTCTCAGCAATTCATACTAAACTCAGCAAAGATTTTAGAACCTTTGTTAACAAAAAATGCTCCATGCTCTTTTTTGGGTACAAGTCAAATTTAAGATGACATTTTATAGCAGAAAAAAAAGTAAATAAATATCTGGGATTTGAAATGTTGGCTAAGATTTCCTGCAAGTTGCTTACACCTTTGCAGGAAGATTACCTGTTTCTTCTGTGTAGCTCTTGTTGTCTGCGGAAAGATGAGCTGTTTATTTTGTGCATTTCTTTTCAGTATATCTTAATGCAGCCCTGAATTGATTAATTTGCTATCATTTCTGCCATTGATTAAGCCACCTGTAATAGTTAAGGCAGTGGAAGTTTTCTGTCACTTAACAGTAAAATAATTTCATTAAAACATTGTCAATACTCAGATAAACAGCACAAGTCAACCACATCATCTGCTAGAAAACAGTTGGTTACAGATGTCTTCTAACAGATTCATTTAGAATTCTGTACAGGCTAAAATATCTCTTTACAAAATACACATTAGTTCTGAGATTATCTGGTTGAAAAGAAATGGCTGCTTCAGCTCCAGCTATGGGAAAAATAGATCATACGTTAAAAATTGTGTATATCTGAATCTCATAGTATTAGATTTCAACATAATGATTAATCTGTATCTGCATTAATGTTGCTGCATACTAAAAAGTCTTCATAAAAATGATTTCAATGAGCAAGAAAGAGATACTATTTATTGTCGATATATTTTTATCAAATGTTAATTTCTAAAGTATGTGTCAGTATCATTGTGTCAGCAATGATAGGTAAGGTAAATTTAATATTTTGCTGTTTTCCTATTTTTATACATGTGGAAATGATTACTATGGTAAAACACATTCACATCTTCCTTGCCATACTTATGAATAT